GATAAATGTTTAGAAGATTAAAATTTTTAAATGTGCGAAATCGTGGAGCACAACGCTACAAAAAAAATTGTGAATATGGGGATGCGCTGTCATAGAAAATGAAGAACATGAATAAAATTACGAATATCGGGCGTGTTATCGACATTATCAAATCACTGTGTGATATCTCGTCGTAGTCTAGAAGTGCGCAACATAAGCGGTGATGCTCAATATGCATCAGTAACGACTCGAAATGGCTAAAATCTTCCCACACTGATTCTGCTGGTAGACGGCTGAGCCGAGAATCTCTTAAGCACACGAAATGGATGTCAGAATCGCCAGCAGGCTGACCACCAAGCAATTTACCACTGGTCAGAGAAACTGAAAAAGTCATCATCTGTGTAGGTGAAGAAATTATTGAAATAATATTTAATTGTGCTAAGATCGCTGCTGGTCGAATTCCAAGTTGTAATATTAAAGCAATTTTAGTCTGGGAATAACATTTCGTAATTTGTACTGGTCATTTTATGGCTATCTGGCTCCATGGGACTACAAGCTAATTGTGGGTAATGCTGGCCCCAACCAGGAACCAACCGAACACACAATCACGAATTATGTCGGCGAAGTAACAATTGCCGCATTTCATATTGCCGTTGTGATTACATTGATAAATCTTATGATTTCGATGCTAGTTCGAACAGCGAGCGACGTCCTGGCAAGCTTTCTTTCTTGTTAATTGCTTCGTCACTTTAAACAAGCTTCTTTTCGTTGCGAGGCGCCAGTAAGGCGAAGGTGGTCAGCTACTGCCGGCCTTTTGGTAACCCGGCGACTTGTTTTCTCGTTTTCCCTCTATGTTTTTTTTCGAATATTCACGCTATCGGCTGTCGGCGTACGTTACGTTTCGTTGAATTGTACTCGTGGGAAAGTAAGTGGTCACTCGAACGACCCGTGAAGAGCTAGCGCACGTACATCGAACATTCAGTGGGTGATAAGTGGCGGTATGGGTAACAGTGGGTGACAAATAGGTGACAAATGCAGTCCAAGATCGAAGGGCCTGGCATAGCTGTGCTCACCGATAAAACCACTAACGTGGGATATATCCATCTGATAGCTCTTGTGGTTCTGATATTCTTGAAATTCCCCCGAAAAAAATGTTTGGCGTATCTTTCTTGATATACAGTTTTTGCCAGCTGCCAACGTCTGACAGGTTTATAACCATATACTAACTAGAAATTATAACCATATACTAGCGAACCAGTTCTTATCTTTATTTATGCGTCCTACAGAATGATAAATTCTATCACTGCGACAGCTTAATGCTATTCATTAAGCTGTTTTTTGCAGAAAAACGAAGATCTGGAATGGAAATTTACCCGATGTCATATCTATTTCGAGTATTTCGAATGGTACACTGCTGTACCACCGCCATTTAATCTCATTTACAATACCACATCCATGCTGCGTATGATTATTTCTAACATCTACTACTTTTTTCGTCCTGTAAGGATTTTTACCGATTGCCGCTGTACTTATTTTGCAACAGTGATCAGTTGTTTTTTCATCGTCGAGTTATTTTTCGCCGCTGATGCAGCTGGCAACTTCTCCATTCTTCCTCGTGTTTTGGATTTCTCTTATCCACACGGCCCCAAACGATCGTTTAAGCACAGGAGGCCTTCTTTTTGCCCAGTGTCTGCTGATATCTCTGTGTGTAATGCTATTTTAATTTCGTTTGTTGATGCGAATAAATCCTTTTGGTAGCAGTGACCGTACCTAACTCTCCTGGTGACTGTGGTTAACCCTAATGATGACAAATTTTAACGTGAAAGTCGCGTACAAATTAATAGACAAACCGTATTGCAGTTGCAGCTGCTATAATCTTACTTCGATTATGGTCTTTTTTTTGGTTTTTTGAAGTATGATCATGTCTGAATTACTGCCACTAACTACTCCTGGTTTTTTTTCCAGGACATCAAGACTTTAGAACGATCCTCGGGTGCATCGCTGGAAGAAGACGA